TGGGGACAGTATTCGTACTTTTGGATTTAAGTTAATCAGTTTGCAAATTAAAGAGATTGTGTGGCTACTGAAATGGGACAATGTATATTACTTATTTTGTGCTGCCACCTAGCAGCGTTTTCAAGAATGCTAATATAAAAAGTGCACATATTTAGCATCTACTCATTTCATACTTATTCAGTACAACCCTGAACATGTTTACTAGTCTACTGAATCCAATGGGCCTTGCTGCCAAGTAAACTGAGTATAGGATTGCAGCCATTTTATCTTTACATTGCAACCTCTCAAAAAGTTATGGAAAGGGCAAAGAAAGATACAGATTCATGATTCGTCACCAGCTGTTTAATTCTTTGGGGGAAAGCCTGATTACAATACTGTACTGTTCCCTAGCACTAGCCCTGGATAAAAACTGTTTTGTTCATGTAAATAAGTACAAAGATTTTTCTTTTTGAGAAGTCCCACCAGGCATCCCAACAAATTGCAGACTTGAACATAATTTGCAAAATTACTGGTAGAATCAACACCAGCAACCAGTGCACATTTCAACCGGGCTGTAGATAAGTATGTTTGATGGGATTGTACAACAATACTTTTATACACAGATGGAAACTATTTATACAAGGTTAACAAGAGTATATAGAAAAATGGGGATTCATTTATTTTAGGCTAAAATCCACAGAAAGTGTCCAAGTGAACCTCTCCTTTTTTATTTTTTGCCCTCCACCATCCATGAACCAACATAAGTAGCCTAGCTCTAATCATACCTAGCTCAAATACTTTTGAAACACTGTATTTACTGCTGGTTTTAGTCCACTGGCATATCTGAGCTGATGGGGCAGAGCAGAGGTATTCAGCGTAAAGATCTCAGTGCACAAAGCTTTGTTAAGCAACTGAATTACCAGAATGACTGAAGTACAATTTCCCTGATTTACACATTGACTGGCTATATACAACAGACTGGCCTATTGTACAAAAATAGCCAAAGTAATTAGTCCAACTTAGATGGCTTCCATTTTTTTCAGGAAACAAGCTAGCCTGACAAGCTCTGGCTTGTCTGAACCATGATGGGTTGTCATATATATATAAGCCTGGGTAGATAATCATGGCTTGAGGGAAGTGTGGAAAATGTGGAGGTCATTGTCAGTTAAACTAAAATGATAACATTGGCAAAGGGTATTCTGCCACCCTGACACCCTTCAGGACACCTACTGTTATATTCTTTACTGGTAGTTTGTCACAACTGTGTAGAAATGAGCCTATATTTGTCTTGCCTTGTAAATTTCCATTAAAGTTTGACAACTGCACCTTACTCCCTTTGAAAGCTGAAACTTTCAATGATATCAAGCAGATAAGACTGCCTGCTCAGGAGTTTGGAAAGGCTAAACACCTGGACCCATCCTGCTTGAGGGATCTTGTGAGGAGCTAGTCTGCCAACCATGTGCATGGAAATTTGAACTGGATGGACCATTGGTCTTATCCAGCATGGCTTCTACATAGATCAAACCACTGTTGTGCACCTCTGCAAGAATGACAATTTTTTAAATTATGAAAACATTTTTGCACATGAGTTGTTCCATGAACAACAATCCACCATGGCCTATTCTCAGGGTGGTTTTGTATATTATATGAGGCTATGCATTATGGAAATGAGCACAAGGAAAGAGGCCACAAGGATACAATGCAATATGACAGCTGGTTGAAAAGGCCTAATTACTGAAAGGCATTCCAGAGATGTCTGCAAAGGGACACCCTGTCTAGGTGCTTCTATGCAAATACTAGAAATGTGCAAGTCAAAATAGGAGAACTGCAGTGCCTTGTCTTAAAGGACAACTTAGATCTAACAGGCACTACAGAAACCAGGAGCAGTGGAGAAAGCCAGTGGAATATAAGAAGGACAAGGCAGGGTATATGCAAGGAGCTATTGCTCTGTACAGCAAATGGAGCATGATACTCTGCAGACTTGAAAACCTAAAAGGGGCAGACTTTCCCCACAGAATTAAAGTTGGTGACAGTACAAAACACCCAAGCTAATTTTGTAGTAGGAACATGCTATCATCCCTGTACCCAAAACACTCAGGGTGGTCTTAAGAAGGAAAATGAAATCAGGGTTGCATCCAAATAAGGAAGTGTACCTCAACACACAAAGATTAAGAAATTTAACCTCTGTGAGAACTTTCTCTAATGTCCTAAATGACTATGACTAGAATAGCTGTCATAGAGCCAATTAAAGAGGAGACAATCCTGAATTTATTCTTAAATAGGGTTGCCCATAAGTTAGTATGAGATGCAAATACTGTTGAACCAGCTGGAAACAATCACAAAGCTATTTGATTTAATATGCATTTAACTGAAAAACTGCCAAAGAGGTCCCGCATAACCACATTTGAAAATCTACATATGCATATATACACAAACATGTATGTATCCAAAAGTTGTGCTTAGTTCTGCTGGTGTGCCTAGTTTTAAAATCTGATTAGAATGTTGTTTATGGTGAACAGTAATAGATTAAACACCAACAAACATTTCTCTAACTGCTTTAGTCATTCCATGGGACTACTAAGAAGTATGCTGAAGCAAGTATCAAAAGGCTTGAATCGTTTGATAATGCTTGGAGACTACTCAAAACCGCAATAACAAAATGTCACCTAATACATAGGTTAGATAAGGCAGCTGCAAGCCCAAGAGGTCACCAGCATGGTTAATGAGCAGTGTCAAAGAAGCTATTGGAGATAAGAAAACGGGGGTGTTGCGCAAATGTGGAAAAACAAAAAGGGGTTATAAGCTTGCACAAGATACATCCAAAAAGACAATAAGGGGTGCAAATATAAAGGTTTTCTATGGAAATATAGATGGTACAGGGGAAAATAAATAAATAAAACAGCATTTTGGGGACCATACAACTAACAGCATCAAAGCCAACAATGAGTTCTTCAAACATATCAGAAGCAGGGAACCAGACAAGAAGGCAATGGGACCACTGCACAATAATGGGTTTAAAGGCGGCTATGGAGATTCTGAAGTTGAATGAATTCTTTTCATCTGCCATGTAATCAGTAAGCATGTGGGGTGATTAGATAGATGCTGTTTAATTGGACTTCCAAAATTCTTTTGACAAAGTCTGAGTAAACTTGGCAGTGCTGGGAAAAGATGAGAGGCCCTCGTATGGATTAGTAACTGGTTAAGAAACAAAAAGTAAAGAGTAGGAATAAATGGTAATTTCTCTAAGGGAGAGACAGAAACAGTAGAGTCCCACAGGAATAAAAACTTCTCAATTTATTCATACACAATCTGGAATTAGGAGTGGGAAATTAAGTGGCCAAATTTTTCATAAAACTGGATTATTTAGAGTGGTTAAAACAAAAAGGGATTGCAAGGAGCTCCAAAGAGATCTCTCCAAATGGGGAGAATGGGCATCAAGATTACACATGTCCAAAAGAGAATACTGAAAATTGGGAAAAGTCCATAAAAGGGCAACTAAAGTTATCACAGGAATGGGACAACTCCAGTATGAGAAAAGGTTACAACAGCAGGGATTATTCAGCCTAGAAAAAAAGCAAAGAAGGGATGATGTGATAGAAGTATATGGAATTATGCATGGCATGGAGAAAGTGAATAGGAAGACATTTTTCTCCCTGTCTCATAACACTAAAACCCGGAGTTATTGTATAAAGCTGATTGGCGGGAGCTTCGGGACAGTGAAAAATAAGTTCTTCCTCACATAGCACATAAACCAGGAAATTCACTTCCACAAGACGCAATGACGACCAACAATTTGCATGGCTTTAAAAGATGATTGAACTAATTTAAGGTTATCAGTGACTACTAGAAACGTTCTAATAATTAATTAAATAATTAAAATTGATTAAATAATTAATTTAATAATAATCTAATAATTTCTGGCATAGAAATGTTCTAATAATAATAATAATAATAATAGTTCTGATGGCTAAATGCTGCTTCCAGTTTCAGCTAAGTCTATATACTCCAGTTACTGAGGAACAGGCAGAAAAATGCTCTTGCACCCATGTCCTGCTTGTGGGATCCCATGAGCTACTGGTCAGCCATGGTGTGAAATGAATGAACTATATGGACCCTTGGTTTGATCCAGCATAGCTTTCCTATAATCGCTTTAAAAGGTAATGCATGTATTAAGGGATAGGGTTCCATGGAGTAGAATCAGTGATATGGGATACAAAATTAGCACGAAATATAACCATGCTAAATTAGACCATTTCAGGCTAGGATGTCAGGACACAATCCAATCAGAACAGAAAAAAATTCTAAGCCAATGACCTTATGTGAGCTGCAAAGTTTTATGGAAAACTTTGCAATTTTATAAAAAAATCTGCAACAATCTCTCTACAGATACACAAGTAACACAAAACAGGCATCCACACATAGGACTGTCTTTTACAAACTCATACCACTAATCTGTTTAGTTCAATACTGTGCATATATTAGCAACTTAAAACTTCTCAGGCATGAGGCACGCCTTTTGATCAAACATGTATTTTCAAACACACTTCTTAATAATTTTTGGTCATATATATTCTTTGTTGACAGTACAAGTGTTATAACCCACAGGCTCTGATCCTCCCGTTGAAGACTAATGGTCTCTATAGTAGCTCCTTCTAGATATGCTGAGAATACAATTCCCATAATTCCCAGCCAGTACTAGCTGCCGAACCGCCGTGAAAAGCGTTTCACATGGTCCCAGAAAGGGGGGTTCTCCCTATATCCTCTCTTTGGATATGCCAGGCTGAGACCTGCGATCTTTGGCACTCACGCACGTGTCTTACTGTCTGACCTACTCCATCTCCCATCTTGCAGCAACGCCACCCCACGCCCTCGAACGAAGCCTCCTTAGTCGCTGCAGCTTCCTCACCTGCCGTCCCCGCCACCTCCACCCTCCAGGGCTGCTCGTTCACAACCAGGAAGCGGCCATCCTCAGGAGCGAAGCTGCTTCTTAAGGAAGGCAGCCGACGCGGGGGCAAGCTCACCTCATTGTTTAGGTTCAAGACCTCCGCCATGGCGTCCGCCCGGAGCCCTCGCAGCGGCTCTGAGGGGCTGCAAAGCTCGTACCTCCCTTCCCACCTGCGGCTCACGTTTGCCTTCTGCTCGCGCAAACGAAACCAGGCGCATGCGCTCTACCTTCCACCCACCTGTTTCCGGGAGACGCTCTAGCATACTCTCTATTGTGCAGAGACTGTAAAACGTAGATTGAAACTAATAGGAGAGAGTGGGGCAAGAGATTGATTGATTAGGGGTGGGGGGCAGCTAGAACTGATGCATATTGCAGTCTGCAATACTTCGGCTGTAATCCTTAACTGGAAGTAAACTCTGTTGAATAGATCGGGATTAACTTTCATAGGATCGCGCTGCTGAAGTGGAATAGTTTTACACGGCTGTCCTACGCTTGTTTACTCGGAAATTACACTGAGTCCACTGGGAACTTAATCCCAAGTAAATCGGCATAAAATTGCAGCCTTAGGTTACATTTCACGTGGTGTAAAACGATCTCGAGCTATAGCACAAGGCCCTTGTGACAAAGAAGCCTTAACCAATCTCCCGCTGAGATCTGCTTTTAAATCACAGGCTTAACCTCATGAGACGAAACGGTCTGAGCTGTTCTCATCTCTAGAAAGTGGAACGGATTCTGATTCTGTTTGCTTCATCTTTCCCAAGGAAAAAAGTCTTTTAAAGGCCATAATATAACCAGTTTCCAATTGAAACCGAAACGAAATAGCGAAAGAGCCCTGAATATAGACTGCTTCTTTCAGTCTTTCATTGTCAGTTTTCCCCAGCTAGCCAGCTCCAGGTGTGCTGGAATGCACCTCCCATCATTCATAGCCAGGTTCGAATGATGGGAGCTGCAATTCGACATTGCTCCACATATGCAAGAATCCGTTGCTCTCCGTCTTGACTGACGCAATCTGTGCTCTTTTATCAGGGGTGCAACATTCTAATAATAAAAGTTGCCCCACTTACATATTTGTTATTTCAAGGGAATGAGTCAAGCATTGTTAGTAAAGAGGTACCATGTGACCATGTCTGAAGCTACAGTTCTTCAGTCTGGGCTGCCACTGAGAACGTCCCAACTTTAATCACCACCCACCTAATTTATGTAGGCTCTTGTAAAGAAATATTTAAATATGTGCAATTATTACAGTTTAATTATGTGTCTGGCTGATCTTATACCTTTTGCCCTTTCCTAAAAATTTTTAGGCTAGCTTGGGGCAATATATTACTATTACATTGCTTTTATATCCTGCTCCCCCCCCACCTTTGTAATGAACTCAATGTTGCTTACATAGCTTTATTTTGTCCTCAAAACAGGAATCTAATATCAGGCAAATGTTTCCAGTTTTATCAAAAGCTTTGTTTTTATTTTCTTGTCAGTTGATAAAATGAAGTTGACATAAGCATCTTGGATTTTACTTCAATAACCTTATGTCTTATATATTTCTGATTTCAGATGAATTGCATAGAATGTTTTGTTCATCTTCTGACAGCATTGTTAACTTTGAAATGTTTTTTAATATTTTGTTTTAGAAAATAAAGATGCAAATGCTGAAACTGTACTTTGCATAACTTCCAGATGTGTTTTAGAGAGCACTTGCTTGAGAGTCTAATATTAGTATTGTTCATTTCATGTTTCTGAAAATCATGAATCATGCACTGAAACTCATCACTATATGTACCCAGTTCTTTTTCTGTTTTTATTTTGGGTTATAAATTTGGAATATGTGTGAAATATTTGTTCTGCATCTGCATTAATTCTTTTAAGCCTAGTTTCATACAAATTACTGAATAAAGATTATGAGTAAAGATAAATGAGCCAATATTTATAACTAGCAAAAGGAATGCCATTATGAGACTGTCTCTTCTTCTTTAAGTGTATATATGTATATAAAGAGCGAGTTTAACCTGTTTAATATGTGGTTTTAAATTTTGCAAACTTTAATGATGTTTTAATATGCTTTTAATACAATATATTTTTCTTTTTTTAATGTATTTTGTGAACTGCCCAGAGAGCAGTTACTCCTGAGCAGTATAGAAATACATACATACATACATACATACATACATACAGTGTGTCCCATGCAGGAACTAATACATTGTAGGAATCAGCTGTGTACATGATCTGTGGATCTCTGTATAGTCTGGGCAGAAGCTAGCTTTGTTACCCAGTTCAATGCACTAGTTGTTGCACTGTATTAATGTCCTGCCTTTTCCCAATTGTGAGAAAGCCAAGGCAGCTTACACAGTTCCATTTTATCCTCACCTTTGTGGCTGAGTGGGAACTACAGGTCCCTACTCCAATACTTTAACCAACATACCACACTGGCTCCCAAAAATTAAGAATCAAGTCTATTTCAATATGTCACCCTTTCCCTACTGGTGCCTTCCAGATTTTTAGATTACAACTTCCATCATTCCCCAGCCACCATTGCCAGTGTGTATATATTGCTTCTGTTTCTTGGTTATACTCAGTACCTTAAGATATTGGGATTATTGAGAAATATCTGTATCTTCAAGTTATATCCATGATTACAATTTGTTTGTAAAGTTTTGCTTTCCATCACTTCTGTAATATTTTGCCAGCATAATCTGTTACCCTTTTTATTCTCCTTTAATAATTCCCCACCATATGATGGGGAATTATTCATCACTTCTGAAAATATCTCTTTGAATGTTCCAGATACAAAACTTTTGGCATCAGCACTGCTACAGCACGGATGTAACAATAAAAGTTGTTTAGGGTGAGATTTTGGACTAGTGTGCAAATAATCCTATGTTGGATCATACAAGAGTGACTCACTGTCCCCTGGGTGTCACTGTGGTCTAGCATAATTTGTCAAAATAATTCAGCTCTGGACTGTATACTACTGATGTACTGGCCTCTGAGTGGCACTGTTGCTCAGGAATTGCACTGTTTTGAAACTGGAATATTTAAAGAAGTGACATCTACATGAACAGCCAGATGCTTCTGTTCTGTAGGATTTATAGGTTACTTTTGGATCTATGTACCTTTCATCAGTAAGAACAGAAGTTCATGCTAGGTCACAATAATGGTCCTTTTAGCTCAGCATTCTGCCTTTTGGACACTGCGAGACTGATGCCTGGGGAGGTTCAGCAACAGAGCATGATGGCTCTGCATATTCATCATTCCCAGCATCTGGTAATCAGAATCACACTGTCTGAAATGGATGTTGTGATAATTACTGGTGGATTTACTTCTCATGTATTCATCTTTACCTGTGGACAAGGCAGTTATGCTTACTGCCATTGAAATATTTGGTGATCATAACAGCTCATGGGTGGCCGCAACATTGTAAATTCATGCAAGATCTGTATTGTGCTTTTGGTTGCATTGTGCAACCTGTAGACTGCATACTGAAGCTAGGTGGTAATACTGCACTTAATTCGACAGACTTGCTATCTTATCTTGTGCATGTTTGCTTGTAGATAAGTCCCACTGAGTTTTCTGGGATTTACTTGAAGAAAATGTGCACAAGATCATACCCTAAGAATATATGTTTTGATTTAAATTTTAAAAGAAAACAAAGAAACATATCTCAGGTCTCCCACAGTTTGAAATATGGTATAACTTGCAGAGCAATTGAGAGGGAATAGGCAATATGTAGAAAGGAGAGGTAGATCTTAAGACACAACTAGAGACTTTTAACAAGTGTAGATCTATGCATGGAGTATATCAAATACAGCCAAAAGCCAAACTCTCTGACTCACAAAAACCAGGAATGTTTGTGCTAGGGAACCTGTGAAACAATTAGTGTCTCTTGAACTGTAGACTGTGGGTTGTATCCTGTTGCACCAGCTGTTTCTGCTCTAGTGGTAGATAGTCATGACTGAATTCAACCCGCTCCATGCCCGTTATAGCATTGACAAGTATTTTCCACCACCTGGAGCCACCCACACATGATCCAAACATGCTCTGAAGGGTGGAGGGGCTTGGAAGAAGGCAGCAAGAAGTTATGCAGGTAGAAGTCCACTGATACAATATTGGATTAAAGTCTATCATCTGTGACTTCAAAACTATGGTTGATGTTTTCACTGCTACAGAGGCTGTGCTCAGTGGTTACAATATACCATTTTTATTATGAGTATGAACTTCAGGAAGCCTTTGTCTCACACAATTCCTCTTCTAGTGTGTTTATGAAAAGATCAGAGGATTTCATTTTTGGTTTTGATTATCTGGCCTTACAATGTAATCATGCTCAGAGTTTTAGGACTTTTTCTGTCTAGACATGCATAGGATTGTGCCCTTAGAATTGTACAACCATAAATGAAATGGCAGGGCCTAATTATATGTAAAGGGGAGAGCACAGCCCTCACCAATGCATAATGAAGGGACTACTCAAGATTCTTCTTTTCACCTCTTGGTGAATTTGACAACTTGTATAAATAATGCAGAATAGTGATAGTGGCCTAATAGCTTTTAAAACAGTATGTAGGAGAGATAAGATGCAGAACAAGGGTATGATGATGTCGCAATTTATCTGTCTTGGAAATAAATACTTAATGCTCAAATACTAGTGTCTGGCTTTTGAGCTATAGTCTGGTTGCTTTTCTATATGCATTTTTAATGCCTCCAACTTCCATCAGTACTAGTCAGCATAGCCTATAGTGAAGAATGATGACAGCTGGAAGCCAAAACCTCTGGATGACCACAAGTTGCCAGTTCGTGTTGCCTGGTAATTCTTCTTAATCTATTCTTTAAAATAGATTCATTCACTATTCATTTCTTTTCTTTTAAATCATGTAGGAAATAATACATAATTAGATTGGTCAGAACCAAACCCAGAAAGAGCAACTAATACTTTCTAGTGCTCCTTGCCTAAAGATGTTGGGGACACTATCCCCAGATAATGAGGGGTGTTTGAATAGCATGCAGATCTTGCCCTGTAGCAAGGTCAGCACATAGTCTGATAAACTGCCTGGACAAGAGCAAAAAAAAAGTACATTCCTATGCATACTACAAGTCCCATGTTTCTGTCTATACAATAAAATACAATACAAACATACAACAACACTGTTAATATATTAAATTTAAAAATAATTTTAAATGGCTTCAAATACATTTATAACACAATAAAAAA